TGTCACATTGACTGCCAAGTAAATTACACTGTCAAGGTCCAGAAAAGTATGAAAGACATTGTCAGAATAGTCCATCTGTCATCAGTGGTTCAACCGTAACGTTGTGAAGCAACGAGAATACTTTTTGTACATGAAGAAAACAAAAATAACGACTTTATTCAACAATCCGTCTCCTCCGCATCACCGTAGCACCATTTTGAAAAATATCCGCTGAACGCAAGCAGCGTACGCTATTCTGTGTCAGCCGCGACACAAGGATACGTTTTCTACGTGTATTTACGCTTTGATTTGAACGAAAACAGCGCATCCGTGCAGCACAGCTGACACAGAAGAGCGTGCGCTGCTTGCGTTCAGCGGATATTCTCCAAAATGGCGCTACGGTGATGCGGAGAGACACAGAGGAGACGAATTGTTAAATAAAGTCGTTATTTTTGTTTTCTTCGCGTACAAAAAGTATTCAAAAAGTATATAAAAAGTAATTTTGAAAACAAATGGTCTAGGGGGCCTTTGAAAATTGTTGTGGATAACAGGGAACCTTGGAATCAAAAAAGTTCAGAACCACTGCTATAATAATGCATTGCAGTATTTAAATGTAAATATCAATTATTCAATACTAAAAGTAAAATCAATACAAACAGTTCAGTTCAATTAAAAATATATTAGTTTACCCAATATTTGTGTCATTAGCTTAGCAACATGATAACATCAAATTCTATTAAAATCAATTGTTAGTTACGTCCTCCTGAACACTGTGCATGCACACTATTTGCATGATGCTGCCAATGTAGTGTGTATTTCCCACAGTGCTCATCTGTCAGAGGCTACAAATACATTAGATTTCTCAACCCCTGAGGGCACCACAGAGCTGATCACAGATTAGTTTCAATGGGCAAACTCGATCATCAGTACAGGAAAGCATGTCTTACTTCAGACATGCAGAAGGATAAGCAGATATATGTTAAAGGAGAAACCCTGAGAAGAGGATAAACTCACATCATACAGGGCTATGATTCCACCAACGAACGCCACCAGATAAAACACCAATCGCCAACTACAGAGACAATCCAACAGAGAGGAAACTCATGTGATCAGGGATTACATTCAGATCAAAACAACTAGTCAACACTAGTCTTGACAGCCTAAGCAGACAGCAACAAATTAGCAACCACTTGGGTATTAGGCCCTGCCTAAACTTGTGCCTTATGACCGCTGCAGTGCGTTGTGGGTATTGAATGTGGAACAGTGTTTTAAAGGGAACACTTTACAATAAGGTTTCATTTGTTAGTTAAATTACACTAGTTAACATGAAAAGTGAGCATTTATCTTAGTTAATGCTGATCTCAATATTTACAACAGCATTTTCAGATCAAAAGCTGTATCTGTTAGCTTTAGTTAATGTGAACATGAACCTTGTTATTAATTAACTTTAACAAAGATTAATAAATGCTGTAAACAATATACATATTGTTCATTGTTAGTTTATGTTAGTAGTTAATGCATTAAAATGTTAAAAAATGGGCCCTTATTGCAAGGTGTTATGGTTTTATAAAATAAAATATAAAAAAACCTGTAAAA